CGGGCGAGGATGCGGGAGGGGCGGCCCGCGGCCCCCCGCTGCCCGCCCGCCCTGCCCGCGTAAAGGGGCGCCCGCGCTGCCGCCACCATGAAGAAGCAATTCAACCGCATGCGCCAGCTCGCCAACCAGACCGTGGGCAGGTAGGGATGGGGACGGGCCCTGCCCGCGCCCTGCCCGCCTCACAGCCCCGATCCCGCAACCCTGCCCGCTCCCTGCCTGCCCCACCGCCCACCTGCGTCCTGCCCGCTCCCCTGCCCGAGCCCTGCTTGCCCCACAGCCCCTAATCCCACACCTCGCCTGCTCCCCGCTCCCCTGCCTGCCTCGCTGCTCTGGTCCTGTACCTTGTCTGCTCCCTGCCTGCCCCGCTGCCCCTGCCCGTTCCCTGTGTCCCAGGGCTGGGCCACGCAGACATCTGCTGTCCAGGCACCCCAGCCCTGATGCTGTGGGGTGCCCCACTGGCCTGTTCCCCCCAGCACCCGTGGGTGGCCCCGGCTGGCTGTGGGGAAGGGGAGCAGGCAGGGTGCAGGGGGACACGTCGGGGCGCGGGTGAAGGGGCCATGCCTGCGGGGATGCCCACACTCACCGATGCACGGCCAGGCCTGGGGTTTGGTGGTGGCTGTTGTGTAATTCCCGGAGATTTTGCAGCTTGGGGCGGGGGGGGGGGGGGGGATGTTTTTTTTTCTTCAACCACAGGCGCGGGGGGACTGGCACCGGCACGGCCGGGGCGTTGGGCTCAGCATCCCCTCCCGGAGCCGAGGGCTTGGACTTCCACTGCAATCCCCCACGTCCCCCCTCGCCATGTCCCCCATGGCGATGGGGATCGCCCCACCGGCTCTGGGTCCTCGGCCGGGCTGGAGGTGGTCGGTGGCGACGGCTCCTGCCTCGGCCGCGATGTTGCCGCACGGCCCCGGCATACAGGCACAGGGCCGGGATGGCAGCAGGGCACCGTCTTGGGGCTGTGGCGGCTGTGCGGGAGCGCGGTGCGGGAACGTGGCGGCAGGAACGCGGTGTAAGCATACGCTGGAACACAGTTTGGGAGCGTGCTGCAGGAATCCGGTGCGGGAGCGTGATGCAGGAACATGGTGCGGGAGCGAGCGCGGTGTGGGAATGGCGTACAGGAGCGTGAAGTGGGAGCGCGGTGGCAGGAACGCAGTGCAAGAATGCGGTGCGGGAATGGGGTTTGGGAGCGTGCCGCAGGAACGTGGTGTGGGAGAGCGGTGTGGGAATCTGGTAGAGGAGTGTGGTGTGGGAACGCGGTGCAGGAACACGCTGCAAGAACGTAGTGCAGGAGCGTGGTGTGGGAACGTGGTGTGGGAGCACGGCGCAGGAACGTGGTGCAAGAACGTGGTGCGGGAGTGCGGTGTGGGAATGTGGTGTGGGAGCGCAGTGTGGGAGTGCGGTACAAGAGTGTGGTGTGGGAGCGTGGTACAGGGAATGCGGTGCGGGAATGCGGTGCGGGAGCACGGTACAGGAAACACGGTGCAGGAACGCGGTGCGGGATTGCTGGGAGACCGGTGCTTGCCTCCGTTGAGGAAGCAGCAGGAGGAGGCTGTTTTGAGGACAGAGCGTGTGATTTTCTTGCATCTGCGCCGGGCCGGGTTTGCTCTCCGGATGCACCGAGAAGGTTTGACACATCTCCCACCCGCGGCTGGGCGGCTGCAGGGGAGGGGTGTCCCCAGGTCCCACCAGCACCGCGTGGGAGACGTGAGCCGGGCACCGCACGCACGCCTGGCTTCAAAATGGTGCTGCTGACAAGGCGAGCATCCTCCTTCCCACATCCCCCGGGAGCGCGGGGCCATGCTGGGCTCCCCGCAGCGCCCGATTCGCAGCCTGGGGAGCGGGGATGGCGGCCGCGGGGCTTGGAGCTGCTAAACCCCTAATCCTCTTAGGGGCTCGCTGCGACGCCGGCTCACGATGGGCAGCTGGGAGGCTCCATCGGTATACCCCAGCACGTCTGCTGCCTGCAGAGCTGCCTGTGCTGCCAGGCTCTTTGGGTTTAACGGGGGAGGGGGGTAGGGTGGTATGTGGCCCCCTCTTTGCTTAGCGCTGGGACAGGGCGGCTGGAGCCTCTGCAGGGCTCAGCAGGAGCTTGGGGACCATCCCCTTCCTCGACCTGGCCCCTTTGGTCCCCCATCTCAAGTGTGGGCTGATGTTTTATCCCTCTTCCCCATGGTGGAGCCCTGAGCAGCCCTCTCCAGCCAGCTGGAAATAGGGAATAATAGATGGAAATAGGGAATAATAGATGGAAATAGGGAATAATACATGGAAATGAGGAATAATACATGGCAATAAGGAATAATAAATGGAAATGAAGAATAATACATGGCAATAAGGAATAATACGTGGAAATGAGGAATAATAAATGGAAATGAGGAATAATAAATGGAAATGAGGAATAATAAATAGAAATGAGGAATAATAATAGAAACCTGGTGTTTTGTCTCCCCTGGGAGACGCTCACCAGGGTATATGCACCGTAACCCTCTGCGGTCTGAGGGCTGTCCCCGCCTGCTCATCACCAAGCCCCAGTGGGCCACCATCACCCTGCAGTGCCAGCACCCCCGAGTCCGGGGCTGGGGACCACTGGGCTGGATGCTGCCCCAGGGCTGGGGTCTGCGCTGCACATGGAGGTTGTCCCCTGGGGGGAGACGGGGGCATTGGGGACAGTTTGTGTGTGGCGGTGGCAGTGGTGGCATCCAGCTGGTGTCACTCCTGCCAGCAGCACCTGGCCCAGAAGATCCCGCTGCTGTGGGGGTGGCCCTGTGGGACTGGGGGGGACAGCGGTGACATCTCTCCGGCCACCCCGCAGGGTGTGCAGAGGGAGGTGCAGTGGGGGGGTCCCAGCCCCTGGTGGCTTTTTCTGCTTTTGGTGGTGTGTTTTCCGTAAAAAAAAAAAGGAAGAAAAAGGCAGCCGAAGGGGAAAACCCCATCCGTGGGTCTGCCAGCCGCTGCCAGAAGTACCCCGGCAGGGGACAGGCAGGGGACAGGCAGGGGCAGCCCTTTGTCCCTGTGAGGTGGCCGCAGCTGGCACTCGTGGGGGGGAGCGTGCGGCTGGGGCTGACCCGCGTGGGGAGCGGGCAGGGATGGGTCAGGGTCAGGGTTAACGTTAGGGTTAGGGTCAGGATTAGGGTTAGGGACAAGGTTAGGGTTAGGGTCAGGGTCAGGGGTTGGGTGAGGATGCTGAGTACATTTCCTTACCTTTCCAAATACATCTTCAGCTCCTTTTCCTGGGGCTGTCACATTCCTTTGCAGCTCCGCTTGCAATGTGGGGACCTGCTGGGTTCCCTGGGGAGGGCAGCGGTACCTGCAGGCACTGGGGTGCCCAGTCTGTGAGTATGACGGGCCCAGCCAGCACAGACCACGCTCTGCTGTGCCCTGAGCACGTTATTTGTTTTGTTTTGTTTTGTTTTATTTTTTATTTATTTTATTTAGGTCATTTCACTAGACAGATAGAAAGAACTGGGGATGCTCATCCCAGCCCAGACCTGCACTTGGTACCCAACCTTCAGGAGAATAACTGCACCCAGTCTGTAAAGGGCCATAATATTTATCTCCACAGGGTGGAAAAAGGGAAGAGAAATCAATAAGTGGCTGTAAAACATTTTGAAGATGCTTTCTGCAAAGCGCTTTTTTTTTAATTTTTATTTATTTATCCATTTCATCAGCGGCTGAGCCAGCGGGAACTCGTGCCCTCACCTCGAGGTCACAGGATGATAGCCACGAGCATGCCACAATACTCGCTCCGGCAGCCGAAACAGCTCCGTGAATTTTCCAGAATTGGTTCAATATGGGTTTTTCTCCATTGGGAATAAAACAGGCACTCGCAGCCGCCTGCAGAATGGCATGGCAGGGTTCCCGAATGGCACAGCAGGGGAACTGGGGAGACTCCGGGGAGGACGGTGTCAGCTTGGGGGGATTGTTTGTTTCCTCCTGGTCCTTTCTGAGCATCCCAAGATGTATGCCCCATCCCGGGGGACAGCGGTGGCATTTTGGGCTGGACATCGCTTTGGTGGCTTTCGGGGCAGATGCTCTTCCAAGCACCAGAAAGTCTGCACAGAAATATAAAGCCTTTAAACACTGAGGTTTTATTCTCTGTGCAGCAACAATATTCTGCAAGAAATAAGGACGTTTTATTCTGTGTGTATGAAATAAGGACGGAGGGAATAAAAGCACCACCTGGGATTTTTCCGATGGGATTTGCAGGAGGGAACAACATGCTTTAAATAGCTGGGTTCCACGTTTGCACTTTGAGGTTCTGGTGGCTCGCTGTTGGCAGGCCCCCCTGGGATTTTGGCTTTGCCAAGCGATGCCGCGCCCCTCAGATGGTGCCGGCAGCATCCCTGCAACCCTGGGGATATTTTTATCCTCCTCGCAAGGCGGCAGCGCTGACAAACTGAAATATTCATGGAGCAGGCTGAAGGTTTTGTCCCCGCGTCCAGCAGCCTCGGGGCCCTGCGCTTTGCAGGGACTTCTCCATGATTTTCAAATCAGGACCGAAGCATGGTCAGGATGTGACCCCGGGGGGGGGGGTTCCTCTGATAGGGATGTGCTGGGAGCGAGGAGCAAAGGGCCCTGTGCATCCCTTGCCGAAGGGATGCCGATGGAGAGAGCTCGCAACCAGAAAAGGGACAGGAGATGAGGAAAAGAGGCTTTCCTGTCTTTAAAACTCTGTCCCCCATTTCACTCTCATCCCTTTGGTTTTCCCAGCAGTGGGCAGAAGGACAGAGGAAAGCTGGACCAGCCTTCCCCACTCATTTCATCCCACTTTTCCAGCCTGGCTGAGCTGAAGGCGGGTGAGCTGCTGGGGCCTGAGTCCTGGTACCAGGCCCACTGGGTGGGCATCACTGCCCTTAGCTGTGGGTTTGGGACATGGGGACCGTCACTCCGGGTCACCCACTGGGGCAGGATGAGCCCAGGATGCTCTGGAGGAGGCGCTGGCGGGGCCATCTCACCGCGTCTCGCTGGATGTTGCAGCTCGGAGTCATCTCCCTGGGGCATTTGAGCAGCGATTTGAGGATATAAATATTTGATGTTTTGCTTCTTGCCTGCTAAAAAGGCACCGGGAAAAATCCGCAGCTCCGTTTGGCCTTAGCCGGATCCTGGTTACAAGCCGTCGGGCTGCGTGTCCCTGGGGATGCAG